TCGTTGATGATGATGATCTTATCGATGTGAAATTGTTTGTCAGCTTGTTTACGAACATTAGTTTTGATTGTGCTGAACAGCGTTTTCTGATCCGTCAGCTAGGTGAACACCACCAACCTGTGTACCTCATCACTAGGAGCATCTGTTTCGCGAGGCCACATGTGGCACTAGATCGCCATACTGACCTTTTTTTGTACCGTAGAAGCGCCTTTGTTTTGAAGCAACCTCAGGAATTGCGGACTCTGATGTCGAGTGGCCATGTATTGGAGGGAAGAAGAGAACTATCTCTGTACTGCATTTTTAAGTCCCTCGAAGAGATTCATGCACGACCGACTCGATAGTCGAACGGTAGTTAGAACGTGTTCCCACTTGGACTGGGGACTTGCTCACTTAACCAATTCACTGACTAATTGGGAAATGGGTAATGTACTCTCGTGTTTGTGGCTTCCGTTCCCACTCCTATTTTGGGACCAAACTGAGTGGCTTTTGCAATTGTCTTCGAACTATCCCGTTATCGTAATCAGCGACATTGATCCGGATCTCCGGCACTCCTTGGTATCTGATACATAATCCAGCCTGCACAGAAAATAGTTCATTCACATCTGTACGTGGCCGAGCACTCACTCAGACACTGGATGGGAACCGACAGCAGAGCGCCGTTGACATCGACTCGGTTACGAAGGGATTTTACTTTACTATGGTGTAACAGTTGGTGCGCCTCAGTCCTTGCAACACTCAGTCGTCTATGTCAGGTTTGTCACTGGTTAGAAGTCTGATCAACACAGTTTCCTGGTCCCATATGCTAGGTTTTGGAACATGTGGGCGACCCATACTTTAAAAAGTATATTGCACTGGCTTATCGCGTCAAACAACGCTACATGGAGGTCAGGCTTTTGAGTCAGTCTTTGGTCGAGTACCCTAGTGGTTCTGTCTAGATCTGGGCACCCCACATTTACCGTATCCCAAACACAGCCATGCTACTTACAAGCAATAATACTCTTATACCTCAGCCGTTGCTCACCAACACGGCCGCCTTATTGCATACAACAGGGCGGGTAAGCGAAAGCAGGCTGCTGCTAGTACCTCCCTTCTTCCTCTACCACACTTTCTCTTCAACCTCCATCACTTCATTAATAACTCTGTGCTTGTAGACACATCCGTTAAAACATATGACCCAGGTTGTCTTGCATCGGTTTTGGCCGCAACATCTGCGAGTCAGCCGGCGTTGACAGCCTCATGTAGCCCGAAACCAATCTCCAAGTATTATCATTGTCTCCATTGTCAAACCGCGGAAGTCGGTCTACTTTGCTGCACACTGAAGCAAACAGTATAACAAGTGGCTCTTGCTCGTACGCTGGATTGATGTATGCTGTATGCCCGAAACAAGCACACAGGACGTAATTGCTCTAGTCGAACTGACTACCCCTTCGCCCTTTTTCGGGTTTCGGCTGCAGAATCCTATATCGGTCTTTGAAGTCTTCATTCCCTGAACAGCGGAAATCACTTTACAAAGTGTTGCCCACCAGCAAACTAGCTCCAAATTCAAATAGATCACATCATCATCGGCAATGGTGGCGAGGGTCGATCGGTGTCTGCCGTTTCTTCCGGAATACGAACTGGGACTCAGACCGTGCATTTGTGTCCTGCTGGTTTTCATTGCGCTTTTGAGATCTACTCAAAACGCGAGGTCGTTTAGAGGTTGAGAGGACGGTGAATTCAGAAATAAACCGAACCTATCAGAATAGGCTTCTCGAACTCCTGACGGGTGTTGCGACGTCGGGTATCAACGATCACTAGGAGCAGATATCCAAGGCGTTACTCAAAACAGGAACTTATATTTGTGGTCCAACCCAGCCAACCTCATCCAAACATTGGATATCCGATAGGACCGTGGGTTTCCTGGAGACCCGGTGGCATGTTCTGCTCGGCCGCAACCACGACTCAACCCGGCTCCAGGTGAAAATGAATGTCCGTGCAGATTTAGAAGCTTGATGGATGCAAAGGGCTGAAGAAATGAAAAATGTGAAAAATGCTGGCAACATCCGCAAGCTATTCCGCTTGCTTCACTCAACTGGTCCTCGGGAGCCTTTTGTCAGTGAAACTATCAGGGACCAAAATGACTCGTCAAAGGAGAATGTTTAGACCGTTGGGCACATTATTTCGAAAAACAATGCAGTTGGCCACCTGCTACCCCCACTATGGAATCCTGGCCTTCAACAGAAAGGTGGACTATGAATATGGGACCCCTTTCAGTTTCAGAATTGTCCGGGTGTATATCTCTACTCAAGCGTAGTCGTGTGGCCGATTCCGATGATCTTCCACATATTCTTTTCAAGGATGGTGGTGAGTTCCTTGGTCACTGCTTGTCTAGCCTTTTTGCGTCTATCTGGGAGAAAGAGAGTCTCAGGCAACTGGGATAAGTTGACAAGGGTGCCCATTTTCAAAAAGAGTACTCGCAATGAACCACAGGGGTTTCGGTTTGACTTCTGTTGCAACAAGGCTTCTGGAGCCATTGATTTTTTGTTGCTTTACAGCGGCACGCCAGTCCTTGACCCATGAACATCAAGCAGGATTTCAACTGTGTAGAGGTTACGTTGACCACGTATCCACGCACCGTGGGATACGAGAACAACAACATATGTACAGACGATCCGCAATCTTGGTGTTCCTTCACTTCAAGGGTGCGTTCCATTCTGCTACTCTGTCAATGCTGCTAACCACACTTGCTTAACGGGATATGCTCCAGAAGTTTGTGAACATTAGCCAGTCTTTATATTTACATACTTCTTGACTTCTCTATGAAAAGTGGTGTCCGACAAGGATGTCCACTCTCTCTGTTCTTGTTCAACCTTGTCCTCGGTAAAATAATGAGAAACTCTGGATGGTCTTCAAAGCTCTGGTGTTCAAGCCATTCCTGGTGAGAATCTTGAATATCTGGAGTACGCAGACGACAGCGGCAAGGCTTGTTGGATGAACTAACCACCATCGAACCATCTTTCGGCATGCGCTTTGCGAATTCAAAGTGCAAAAGTCATTTGGTCTGTGAACATCTCGCTTACAATTTACGGAGAACCGCTGGAGGCCTTGGGAAATTTCGTAGACGTCGATGGCTGTATTAGCGCTGATGGAATTGTGTCCGATGAAGTCATTGCGAAAATATCAGAGGTCCGAATCACATTTGCTAATTTGCATCACCTGTGACGTCATGTATCGCTCTGTACCAGGCTACAGTAATGACAGCATTGTTGTTTGGATATGAGATATGGACTCTGTTAACAGATTACGTGGGGGCGAGATGGCTCAGGTGGTTAGAGCGCGGATTTACTGACCGGAAGGTCCGTGGTTCGAACCCGACCTCCGCCACTCGACTTCCCATGTCTAGGCTTGAGCAACCTGACAGTATCCCAGCCCTCGTGCTTCCTTCGGGTGGCATGGCAGCTAGGCACCGAAAGGGCGCTACAGCTGAACGATTATTATTATTTATTAACAGATTATGTGAGGTGCCTTCAGGTATTTGACCACCACTTCCTCAGAAGCACTGCTGGTGTCAGATGCGTCAGCGAATTCGTAATGCGGTAATTGGAAAACGGGTATTCGGTTGTGCAGCGGGTACATCAGTTTCTGAGAACATCCAGCAAACTTATCTGAGGTGGCTTGACCATGTTCTACTGATGCGCAAGCACCATCTACCGAGATGATTGTTGTTTTCCGTACCTTCGGAATGGCGCAAGCCACGAGCTGAACAATATATGACGTGGCCGAAGGTTGTGAAAAGGATTACGAAGGTTTCTGGGCGTTGTTGGTTCGGTGAACGTTGCAGGATGGGGTTCCCGTAACCCTTCCTGCGTTTGATGAAGACATTGCAAGAAAATGGTGGCTGATCGATATCAGTGGCCTTCGGGCTGCTCGTTGCCTCCCAGATTATCTGGTTGAGCACTTGGAGGTGTGACACCTCGAAATTCCCTATTGAGCAATCGTGTTTAGGAGAATGCACTTTGTAAATCCATGACTACTAACGTTGTGGATCATTCATGCATACAACATAGTTCTACCGCATGACGGAGTGTGAACGCAGCCCTCACCAGGCCGAAATCCAGCTTGCTGCTGTCGAATCAATGCTTCACATGCCACGATGAGGCGACGCAGGACAATTGTCGTCAACAGTCTCGCTACAACTGAAGTCAGGCTTATCCTTTTGTGATCTCTGCACTCATTAAGGGTGCTTTTGGGGATAGGTACTTTCGTCCATTTACCTCAGTTTTCTAGAACAATATCAGTTTCTTAGATACCCGCAAATAAACCAGACAAGCACCGATGAATTACCTTTTGCCTATCCTTGATCAGTTGAAGTGGGAAGTCATCCGGACCAGGAGTTTGGTGGTGCTTGAGGGAACATATGCAGTCATAAGCCTCCGAAGCAGTAAGGGGTTTCAGGTCCCCCATCCAGGGTTCTACATTTCGGGGATCCGAACGAGTGGCAGCAGGTAGCCACGGGAAGCATTCCAACTATTCGGTCTAGCAGTCGATGTGTTAGAAACGGTCGCGCCACTTTGGTCATTGATGGTTTCGCTCACCAGCAGTTTCCGGGGCTGGTCACGCAAATCAATTGGAATAAACTGGAATTCTCGCTCCCTGCGCTTGTTTTATTTCCTTAGCCTTCTTTGCCAACAAGTCTTCGTGGTCCGAGTTCCACTTGAAGTCTGATGTGTTTAGGACCGGTGAGAACATTTCACCAGTTTCGGAGAGCGATTCTGTTCTGTCTTCTATCCAGTATTTGAGGGGTCCTATTAGCGCCGTACCACAGGCGAAAAAACATGTGATAGAGGAAGAAGGAAGGTATCAGCAGCAGCCTGTTTTCACTTACCCGCCCTGCTGTATGCAGTAAGTAAGGCGGCTGGGTTGGTGACTACGTGCAACGGTTAGGATACCTGTGGGGTGCCCAGACCTAGACAGAACGACTAGGGTCCCCGATCAAAGACTGACTCAAAAGCCTGACCTCCATGTAGCGATGTTTGGCGAGGAACGCCAGTGTATTATGCTTTTTAAAGGACACGTAGTCACACATGTTCCAAAACCTAGCGTGTGACCAGGAAACTGTTGATCAAACCTCCAACCACTGACGAACCAGCGATGGACAACTGCAAGTGTCGCACGGACACCCACCCAATATATCCCTATGGGCCTCGTAGGCAAATTTTCGCAACATGCCAAATCTCACTCTCCTCAAAATTTTACCCACAAGTCAACCGAATTTGACATA